TCTTCAGACGCGCTATGGTGCCCGCCTGGTTCATCTTTTGCATTACTTGATTGATCGCTTTGCGCATCTCGTCCCTTCCCTTGGCCATGGCCATGTAGCTGGACGACTTCGGAGGCAGGGTGGACAGCAGCGGGACTAGATCGCAGGCCTCGCTGCCGCGCGCGTAGAACAGCCGCCGGATGTCGATAAAGGTCATGACCATGTCCTGGGTGGTGCGGCGGGCACTCTCTCCGCTCAAGTTGACCGCGATGAAGCGGTCGTTGCGCACAGTGCGCCAGAAGAGCTCGCGCTCGTACGGGTTACTGCTCACCTTCCAGTCGTTCAGAGTACCAATGCCTGGTTCCATGGCAAATGTCCAACCTGACTGCTCGGAGAATTCTTGCAGACTGCTGATCGGCTTGTCAACGGTGACGATGGTCAAATAGGAGATCAGGTTGGCGGTGTAGTTGACGTAGATGAGGATGCCCATCATCCAGCTGGAGATGGTTACGGTGCGGGCGGCCAGAGAGTCTGGGGTGCTGGCCCAGCCCTGACCAACCACCGACATAAAGGTGGACAGCAGGCACGAGCCCCAGGTCATGTCCTCCACTGTGTCGCGGCTCTCGGCTCGCCGGTGGATTGAAGCGCAGCGACACGCGAAGCACAACGGACAGCACCAGCAGCGAGACCAGCAGCATCCACCAGACGTCAGCTGTGCAGCGGCTTCAGCAGCGAGCTGAACATGCCTGGTGTGATCTGTGGGATTGCTCCCGATCCCTGACGAACGTAGAACGTGTACTGGTCATACTCCACGGGCACGGCGTCTATGTAGTCAGCTACAGTTGCGCGATCTTGTCTGATGCCGATCCATGTCAGGGCGACCTCTGCACGATTGTACGCCAGCTCCCCCACCATGCCTGTCCATGTCCCGTTCTCATTCATGCTCCCATAGCCGCCTGACATAAGAGGCACCACTCTATAGCGGAGGTCCAACTCTCGCGCTATGATCTGCCACAAGTCGTACAAGTAGCCGTCATACCTGTACGAGCCATCGAGCTGCGGGTAGATGGCGAAGTACGGCGGGTCGTGAATGGCCGTGACGCGAATCTCCTTGTCGATCTTCTGTCCACTGAAGGGCTCCGCGGACCAGGTGGCGCCCACCGAGAGCAGGCCGCCGATGTACTCCATGGCCGCGCGCCCAGGGCGGACTGCGCTCCGCGCGCGCGGTGCGCTTCACCGGCGCTCCGCTGGTGAAGTCACCGCCGCCGCCGCCACCGCCGCCGCCGCCGCCCGCCACCTCCGGATGACGGGGGCGCACTAGGCCACCGGCCACAACAGCCAGCGGCAGCTCGCTGCCAATCAATGGCATAGCAGCGGACGCGGCAACTGGCGCGCTCAACGGCTTACGGCTGTCTCGCATGCCATGGCGCCGTCTGTCCTCCCCGGCCTCCGGTAAACAAGAGCGTCGCACTGGCGGGGTACACAAAGAGCTGAGCGAATGAGAAGCGCGCGTGTGTGAGTGCAATGCTATAGAGCTGGCCGCGGTAAGTATCCGGTCGGCTCAGTAGCAAAGAAAACATTAAGCTCCCCCCACTACCCACGGCCTCTGCGGTCTCCAAACTTTTGTCAACATAGGAAGAATGATAGTACGATTTACTGCTGATACCTCGCCCGGAAGGCAATAAAAAGAGGAGAACGAGGTAGCGTGCCTTTAATCATGCACAACTGTTTTTAAGTCACGTATTGTGGTTGACCTCTCGGGCCAACTGAAAGGCGGTCATGCGTCGTTGCCCTATCGAATTGCTATATCACATGTCTGCAGAATAAAAGCGCACTTCACGTCGGAGCCGACTGCATTCCGAGGTAGCTGCTTGAGCCACACCCATCACAGGAACACATGCATTCCTGTGGTGTTACTGGAGAGGGGTCAGGTGTCTAATAACCCGAGATCTATCAAAACTGGCCCCGTGGGTCACGGGCACCCGGGACATGAGTCTCAGCATGCACTGTACATCGCTGGAATCCGTGAAGGGCCGTGGACCGCCTCAGCGTGACTGGTCTGCGCAGGCATTGTTTGCTCGTGGTGCTGACGGATGTTGCGGTCGAGCGGAACTGTGCCGGAGCCGCAATGCGCGACCGTTCCGGTTTCGAGTCTCGGGGCGGGCGCGACGGTCTGTTCGACTGACCACGCAGGGTATGCTAGCAACGGACCAAGCAGGGTCAGCTCAGGCCTGGCGGGCGGGTCGGGGTACGTGGAAGGAAATGTCGACTGCTGGGGACAAATACCAAGGAAGGTGCTAACTCAAAGCTAAGGCACTGAACAACTTACGTAAAATACTAGAGGTACCAACAGGAGCTGCGCCACAGCGTTTGAGGATGGTACAGGTTTTCCAGTGGGTCTCTTGGACATAATGGGCCTCCTCACAGGATTTTACAATGGGCCTCCTGGACAAAATTGGGTCTCCTAACAGGGGCCTTATTGGCAGTGCTGCATTCAAGGCGGGAGGGGGAGAGGAGATGGGGATGCGTGCTCCCTTAACACATTGTTACATCACATCTAACACATCTAAATTCAAGTAAAGAAATGTCGACCATAAAAAGTCGGAATTGAATATGAGGCCCAACGAGATTTCTCCCCGAGGGTCGACTACTTCAAATTAAAACTGGGCAATTCAGAAGGATTTCGAGACAACTACCGCATTAGGTCTCCAAGGGGAACAGCCTCTGGTCGATAGACCAATACAGGTAAGGAAAGCCGGCAAAATGGATCCGTAACGTCGGGATAAGGATTGACTCTGAGGCTTCGGTCGTTCGGGCCTCTCTGTGAAGTGGCTAAGGTGCCGCGATCACTTGGGCTAGGTCTTGTGCTGGTCACGAGACTTACTGGACCTTGTCCGCGTGCTACCCGCCATTGGATCGGTTTGGCTTGTCGGCATGTCCGGCCGCGCGCGCTGTCGCGAGCGCTCGCGCGTGAGCGGCGCGCGCACGGTCGACGGGAACAACCGTGTCGTTGGGCAACTAAGAAGCAACTCAGAACTGGCACGGACCAGGGGAATATGATTGACTACTTAAATCATAGCATCGCGATGGCCAAGGTCGGTGTTGACGCGATATGATTTCTGTCCAGTGCTCTGAATGTCAAAGTGAAGAAATTCATCCAAGCGCAGGGCAAACGGCGTAGCCAAGCGAGTAACTATGAATCTCTTATTTAGCCAAATGCCTCCTCATCTAATTAGTGACGCGCATGAATGAATCAACGAGATTCCCACTGTCCCTATCTACTATCTAGCGAAACCACAGCCAAGGGAACGGGCTTGGAAGCGTCAGCGGGGAAAGAAGACCGGTTGAGCTTGACTCTAATCTGACTCTGTGAGAAGACATGGCAGGTGTAGTCTAAGTGGGGGACGCAAGTCGAACGTGAAAGACCACTTCTTTCATTGTCTCATCACTTACACAGTGATAAGGGGACTCGAACTCCTCGCGAGTTAGCGATTCTCGATCCAAGGCGCAATACCAGCTGGTATTTTTGATCAAACCATGCAGGTCTGAGGTAACAATACATGAAAAGTGCAAAACGGCTGGAATGCTCCTTCTTTAACTCAGGAGAAAGGTTTTCACTCCACTTTGGGGAGAGAGATGCATGACACTGGAAGGGTTTCGCCCTCCACCAAATGTGACGCCCGACACTGGAGGCCAGGTGAGTGCACCAGTCGCATCAAACACACCAAATGTGACGCCCGACACTGGAGGCCAGGTGAGTGCACCAGTCGCATCAAACACACCAAATGTGAATGCCCGACACTGGAGGCCAGGTGAGTGCACCAGTCGCATCAAACACACCAAATGTGAATGCCCGACGCTGGAGGCCAGGTGAGTGCACCAGTCGCATCAAACACACCAAATCAGTTAAAAGGAATGCTGTCACACGAAAGCACAACATGCGAAATGAAGATGATATCGCGCAACGCGCACTCACCGATGCACCTAGCACACGACCGTGAACACTTCCAGGAAACGACTCAGGCGAGTTGGGAACTGACCCCACAGCCCTGTCGACTCCGGCGCCGGCTCGGCCTGGTGGCCCGTGGGCCGGACTGTCCGTCCAACACGCCAGCCCTTCCCGAGCCACAGAACGGAGCGGGCCAACGCCCGAGACCGCCCGCCGCCTGCGTAGCAGCCAGGACGCCGGTGCGCGGGCGATGGGACCAAGCGTGCGCGAAGAAACTATTCCGTTATTGGGGGAAGGGGACCAGCGCTTTGGCGGCTGGAGTCCACGTCCTGACAACTAAAATAATTTGGCAAATGTTGCTGCATCGCTACATGAAAAGAAACGCCTCAAATGCCTCTGCACCCCCCCCCCCCCCCTAATTTTTGACACTTTCCTCGCTCTGCGACCAAGAAGGGGCACAAGGTGGGCCAGCGTCGGTAGAACCGAGGGTCAGGTACGGCGGCGTCAGGCACGGCGAGGGGCAATGGATGGAAGGGCGGGTCTAGACAGGTAAACTACCGGGGTTGCTGACGTGCTGTCTGCGTGCGGCTCCGTCTGGCGCTTCCAGGGTTCGGTACAAAGAACATGCTTTGTCTATGAGGAAATCTCTTGCCCATTAGCATGCATACACAGGGCATTGCCACTCAGCTGCAGGTTGGTATCACAGCATAATTCCAATAGCGACATGTGGGTTTTCCATCACATCCGCGTGTGCACGCCTTAGTCTTTTACGTTATTTTCCTTCTAATGGTGCTGCATATGCTTGCATAACACGGCACCATATTCGTCATACAGCTCTATGTATGTGTATAAGCGGTTCCCGGGCCAAACGCACCTTATGCCAACATATTCGTTTGCTTTTTTATTAAATTTTTTGTTGTCTGTTCGAATGTTACGATGCTCCGTTTGACCTTTAGCATTACGTCCCGCGCCCAGCGGCCTGCCGCGCGTTAAAATCTCAGCACCAGTGACGTCATATTAAGGTCAAGCGGTGGTGAAGCGAGAATCACCGGACGGTTTTACCTCTTATACGGGCTTGTCGAAGGGCGTGTTTTTACAGGAAGAATCGTAGGTTTGAACGGTCTTGAAGTTGCGTCGAGTGCGTTGCGAGGCTTTGCGGTGCAAGGCTAGTTGTATCTACATTCCAATTTATTCTCTCTGTCTGTGGTCGCATTCTACCACAATTTTATAGGTTTCTCCCTGGATCCGGATTTGGTTTGTGTGTGGTAAGTTTTGAGTGCGAGCTGAACTCGTCTAGGTGCTCTGTCCGACTGGATATTCGGGTGGCAAGCTGCCGTTTGCACGATTGTCGAATATGTGTGGCCACCGATGAATCACATTTAGCATGTGTGGCCATTCTCAATACTCCCTCCTCACTCCCGTGTTTATGCATTGGTGGTGCTACATGAAACACCCTCTTACCCCGGGTCCGGAATGGCAAAAATATATGCTGTGCCAAACATGTTTGACACAGCAGCAACATCATGAAAATGATGTTAGGCCCAAATTCTGTAACTCTTATTGCTCAGAGTCTTGGCACACAGTCATCAAGTGCACAGAGAACCAATGTGTCAGGGCATTGCAATTGCACAAAGATAACTTTGGACTGATTTACTGCTTCATTAAAAAACATTTTTAAACTTTCAATTTATTTTGTCAACCTTAGTTTGTCAAGTCAATAGGAGGTTCGGTGTAGGTGTACTTTCCTACCTAACGTTAGAAAAAACCATTGCACACCATTTGTCGTGTTCAAGGCTGCACATACCGTAAATAATCTCAAAACAGGTAGAATCATGCTCCTACCTTCGAATTTCAATAACTATGATGGGGAGCTCCCGAGCGCCTGGACTCCCCAGTGCCGTTTCTGTGTTGCCATTGCGTAAATACAATATTTCTGCTTACCAAGAACTATACAAAATGTACGGGACCAAGGTAAACCATTCCTCGTGTTTAAGGCAGAACATATCGTAAATAATCTCAAAACAGGTAGAATCATGCTCCTACCCTCAAATTTTAGTAAATACGATAGCGAGCCCGCACCGCACCGCCTCAACTCCCAAGCACTGTTTCTGCGTTGTTACATAAGTACAATATTTCTGCTTGTCAAGAACCATAAAATAAAAAATGTATGGGACCAAGGTAACAATAATAAATCAATCAAAATCGTTTCTTATCGTGTTTAGGTTCGTTTATGAAACACACAGGCCAGAATAGTCGAGAACATATCCTAAACTAGCCTAACCTAACCAAGCCTAACCTAACCTAACCTAACCTAACCTAACGTAACGTAACGTAACCTAACCTAACCTGACCTAACCTGACCTAAACTAACCTTGCCTAACCTAACCCACCCAACCACCCAACCCAACCCCAACCTAACCCACCCAACCCAACCCAACCCAACCCACCCAACCCACCAACCCAAACCCAACCAACCTAACCTAACTGAGAATAGACCAGAACCTAAGCTAAGCTAACCTAACCTAACCTAACCTAACCTAACCTAACCTAACCTAACCTAACCTAACCTAACCTAACCTAACCTAACCTAACCTAACCTTACCTAACTGAGAATAGACCAGAACCTAATCTAAGCTAACTAACCTAACCTAACCTAACCTAACCTAACCTAACCTGACCTCCCCTGCAACCCATCGTCCCGTTGGCGTCGAGGATCAAATTTCATGGATTCTTGTTATCTTGGCCCGGTACATTTTTATGGTTCTTGCTGCTTCATGCGCAGTAATGTTGTGACCGCGCGCAGTAATAGCGCCGGTGTCGCGGCTGCTGTGTATGTGCGGTGCTCGGAGGTCGCCATCATAATTGTAAAAAATTCGAAGGTAAGAGCATGAATCTGCCTGTTTTGTGATTATTTACGATTTGTCCTGCCTCAAACACAACGAATGGTGTACAATGATTTTTTCTAATGTTAGGTAGGAAAGTACACCCTGACGGGAGGTTCAGTATGCTGATGCTCAGTTCCACTTGACCTCAGTGGGGGATTTTCAGCCGACACCCCTCTGGTTTGGTTCTTTTAACTGGGCCACATTTAACTCTTAATAAGGCTAGGCACATTAGATAAATTATGAATATGGTAACAATGGATGATTGTACATATCTGACTTGCAGGTTTTGGTTGGTGTATAAAATATTAATGCTTTTTACCAGGCTGTTGAAATCCATGTTGCTCTAAACATGTTAAGCAAAGAATGCTCAGTAAATGCTTTTTGATGTTGGAAATTTGGCATAATTTTGCCTGGCATCAGTTCAGCACACACAAGTGTGATGCACAGAGATAATGCATAGGCACACAGCACAGTGGATGGATTCTTTGTAGACTGGACTTTATGTGACCATGCCCAAGCGCCACATGTCCCAAACCCTGTCGCCCTCACTGTCATCCTCTCCGTGTTAAACATATTTGATAGATTGCCATTGTGGAATTAGTAACCCTTGCAGGGTCATCTTGAGTGACACTGGATATCAGATACTCATTGGTGACCCTTGCCCTTGACCAGGGCAGACTACCAAAATATATGTTGCTTGGGAGCTGGGAGATGTTCAGAGTAGAACTGGCATCCCAACAATGAGTTCAGTTCATGTATGCCATAAGTGTGATATTAACCTGTTAATGACTAGGGTCCTCAGTGACTGGAGGGGTGCGGATTTGAACTCTTCTTGAATTAAAAAATCCAAGTGGCAATGAAAAGTGCTGGGCATGCAATCCCACACCACACAACAAATTGAATTCTAGGTGTGCATTTAGGTCACCAGTTAAAATCAAATTCTGAAAAAGTTTCTTTGAAATGGCTGACCTCTTCAACAACACATTTAATTTTGAAGCACATCTCATGGTATGAAATCGTGCTCTGATTAAACATGTTACATAAGAAGCCATTCAACATTACACATGCCAACCAGGCCAAAGCCAAGGTGCAAGGTGCCATGCAAATGATGTCTGAAACTTTGTTGTGTATGTCTCTTTTGGTTGAATTAGTTCCATCATATTGAAATAATCTTCATGCAAAGTGGTAGAGCTTTCCGAAATCACGGGCATCAGACACGTGAGCAAGTGTGTTACTCGTTAATAAACCATCTAAGCTCAAGGCCAAATGGGAGACCTGGTGGTGAATAAGGGCCTGGATCGATTTTCACGTTGTTTTCGCGGCTGTAGTCCTGCCAACAGTGTAACCTGATACCCTTCAACCCCCCCCCCCCCCGCCCCACCAGTCATGTGGTCGTCGATCTGTGTGAGAAGCCAATGAACGGCTTCCGCCGCCCGGTCGCTGGGCGGCGGCGCTGCTGCAGCCCTGCAGAGCGCCGCCGCCCGCCGTCACGGGCCAGGGACAACATGAGCACGGCAACATGTGCCGTTACTCATTTCAAGCCATAGCTCAGTCATGGTTGTAGTAAGTTGTTTGAAATGTACAGTCATCCTTCATGGTCTTATGTACGGCTCCTTTTTCATGGTTTGAAATTTTGAGTCTGAAACCAAAACATTTTTCAGTGTACTTTCAATCAGTATGTTTTGTTATTTGACACGGGAATGTGTCAATTCGTTATCAGCTGTGCGCCTCTGTAAAAATACCACCACAGTTGATGGCACTTAGGTGTCACTTGTGCTTAATTTATTACATGTTTAATCTATAACAGTCTCATGGTTTTATTTGGGCACTAGGTGTAGAACTCTCATTTCACAGCCACTGAATCTTGCACATTGATATCTCAAGAAGCTTTTGAGTTATCACAAGTATTGTACAGGCGGAGGCAGATTTGACCACACCCCGCTCAATGCTGGGCGAAATGCCCTTAGTTAAAGAGTGCTGTGATCAACAATGCCAGCATGTAGAGTCACGTGATGATGGAAAGGCAAGCATACATACTTCCAAACTATTTATCAGAGCAAACAAAATGGTGAATTCTGCTAGATTTAGCATGAACCAATATTGCTCTAGGTTTTCATGTGTTGATAGGTATGACAGGTTCGGTATACCAATATCACTTATGCATCTAGCAGTGTTTGGGTTTTATACTTTAGTTCTAGTGGTTTAGTTATCTTGGTGCTGGCCACACGCATTAGGTTTATGTCATTATATTTGGTTCTACTTAATTTCAATATCTTGTGTAATATTTGGGCCAGTTTTGGCCAGTTGCTGCTCATGGCAGCTTTTGTTAACAAATTTTGCCAACTGAATATGATTAGAGCTGCAAAATAGATAAAATTTCTGTCCGGCCTTGTTGGGTGGTATATTAAGTCTAATCATTGTGGCCTTGGTACACTACACAAGATGTTTTACCATGTGTAGTTCTGCCTGCAGCATTGCAATTTGAAAATGTTTTTTTAAACATTTTATTGACATAGACCACTGGTCAAAGCCAATCCAAATATAGGTCACAACCCAAGTGGCTTTAATGCAGGAAATTGTTTCAGATGTAGAGTAAAAAGGGTAATAATATCTCCAGAGACATGGGTTGATGACTTTACCCTGTCACTAGTGTCGAATGCAATCCATGCGTCCACCTGTTTAAGTGGAAGTTATAAGGATTGTCAGATTTGGCAACCAGGGCAGGGAAAGATGTGAAACAAATGGCAGCATGCAGGTGGTTATACCATTTACCATTCATTAGGAGATGTCAATGCTGACAAACATGTAAGGGTGCCAGTGGGCAACCAAAACAGAGTCGACGTCAACTCCTTGGAAACCAGCATCATAGACCACATGCTGTTATTGAAATAATGTGATTGGTGATGAAAACTGCACTGAACAGGTCAAGTCCTCTGTTTGTAATAAGTACCCAGAATGTATGCATGCTTGCAGTATGCTGGTGAAGCCACCCAAAATATAAACCATTGCAAGTGCCTTGATTTGATGGAATAGGATCACATGGCCCAAACTGTGGCAACCAATACCTGGAAGCCAGGAAATAACCCTGCATTGGTGTGAATAGCAGTGGGGCACTTCTGAATTGCGAAGTTGATGTGTGAACACTCCTGTACCAGTATGCCTCTGGCTGCTGAACAGGGAAAGAGGGGTATTTTGATTCAATGATCAGATTGTCATGTGACGCTGTGCTTGCAGGGTGGGATGCTGAAGTGGCTGGTATTGGCGCCTCTGCTGGGGCTCTGCTACTCGCAGCTCACCCGCTATGACCCCACCTGCCGAAAAAACTGGGTCGAGTACGACAAGTCCTGCTACCGCTTCTTTCGAAGTCCACTGAAAGACCGGGATGATGCCAGGGATGCGTGCCAAGTAAGTGATTATTCCGGGTCAGTGGGCTGCTCAGCAACTTTGAGTCATTGTTTGGGGATTGTATGATATAGGTTGCTTGCTGGTACTATGGAGTAGTTGACAGGGTTTGTAAAGGGCCATGTTAAATTAGTTCATGGACTTTTAGTGTATTGAGTACTTGCATGGTCTACGGAGTAGCAGACATCATCCATGTATGCTGTGTTTTCCTTAAGCAGCCGAGGATCATGGCATTGTGTTTTGAAACGTGCAGTAGTGAGGCCCTGCTTTGCCGAGTTGCGTCCTTAGCGTGTCATTAAGCTGAACAAAGATACTGCCTGTTGGAAACGTGCCAAATGCGGCTGCTGTAGGTGTTTGCCGCCGACCTGATGAGCCTCAGCACGATGGAAGAGCATGCCTTTGTTGTCAACTGGCTGCGCACTCACGACCCGCAGCACAGAGTATGGTAAGCTTGTGTTCAGTATGACTGGCTGTTGGCTGACTCCAACTCCGAGTGCTCCCGGTGAATGATCTTGAGAGACCTGGGCCGCTGCAGTTGACTAAATATTGGCATTGCTTTCATTCTGGTGCCCAGGACAGTAGATCAGTCTGGCCTAAGATTTAATTGAGGTCTGTTTCATTCTCCGTGATCTTCAGCAGTCAGATGCGCCATACATATCTACTACTTAGTCCCATTTCGTGGGATTTGCGAGTCATTCACCCCTGGGCGAGTGACTCGCACAAGGACGCTTGACTGTCCCCGCCGTTTGAGACGACCCTCTAAAACACAGTGGCTCTCTGACATTATCGCCTCATCATCTCAGCCCATATTGTTCTCCCACTAGGTGCATGGGTCGCGCAGAGAAGCCGACCGCGCCCTGGACTCCCTGCGTGACCCGTGTCCCCGCCGCCGCAGGTACATGGGCGCGCGCCAGCAGACGTCCAACCTGTGGACCAACGAGCCGGACAACACACCGCTGCAGGGCCTCGACGCCGCATTTCTGCCCGACCAGGAGGGCATCACCGACAGAAACTTCGCCGCGTACAGGTCAGCGGGTGGCCGGGCCCACGTGGGAGGGGCGGGGGGAGGGGTGTGCTGTGGTGGTGAGCCCGCATGTGCGTCAGCATCCGCCATGTGCTTGTGCTGGCGGGAACGGCACACATACAGCCTGTGAACTCGTTTCGAGTGTTGTAGACCGGCGCTGCTGGCCTGTGGACCGCGGTTTGCGAGTTTAGCAGTATGTTTTCAACACAGCAGGGTGCTTTGTTTCATCACTTAGTCGACCATTCACTCAACCCGTTGCGTGTCACTATGCTACCGGAGGGTGCTGTCTTGGTAATGTTGTGTTTGGTGGACACTGCTGATGGCGTGTGTTGGGTCCAGACCTGTGCTGAAATTTGTCGGTGAGTGGATTGGAAACTTGACTTAATAATAATGCCGCGGACCGCGTCATTTCTGATGGCTCGTATCAACGGTTTTGTACTGACTCGCACTGACTTTGTACTGACTGTAATTACCACGGATTCGATAATCGTTGGTGTCGCTGCTGTTCACCCATGCGGCTCCTGCGTTGTTACTGATAATGCGTTCGCCACCACCGCCCCGCTCCCGGGGCTTCGGGCCGGTGGCGGGTTCTGCGATAGCTGCTGATCCTGATCTCGCCGGTATTGCCGCCGACTTGCCGGGCATTTTGGCTGGCAGCTGTGCTGCCGGCGGCAGACCGGTCGCTCAGACCCCGTTCACTGCCTGTCGACGCTGTCGCGACAGACGTCTGGCCGGACGCCGCCTTGACGCGCGCCGCCGCCGCCAGCTATTCGGAGACGTCGAACCAGTGGGGCCTGCTGAAGGTGTCCGGCTCCGATCGGCTGCTCTACATCTGCGAGATCAAGCTGGCCGACCTGAACTCGATTGACGTGGGCGAACGCGACCACACGTACGGCCGGCCGGCGATGGAGCGGCGGCTGGTGCCGCGCGGTCCCACCATGGTGCTGCAGCCCAAGCCGGCCGTCTTCGACATCAGCACCCGGGCCACCGTCAACGACGTCTCCATCAAGTCAGTCCGCCGCGCCGCCGCCGCCATGGCGGCCGGTCGCCTCGGGAGAGCGCGCGGTGTTGGCGAGCGTGGCTTCGGAAGTCTCCGGAGCAGTGTTGGAAGTTCCGAAAAATTTCCTAGTAACGGAGTGCAAATTTTCCAAAGTGGAGTACAAAGTTTTCCAGGCTCTGTGAGTCATTACATTTTTTATACCTTTGGGAGATTGCAGTACAGTGTGCAGTGTTTAACGGAAGCGCCACTTTTCATGTACAGCAAGTCATGTAAAAACACTTGAAGTGAAAGAAAATGTCAGTATCAAACATGACACACTGAAACAACACAGTCCCAGACTTCATGACATAAAACACATATGCATGTCTATTATATATATATATATATATATATATATATATATATATATATATATATATATATATATATATATATGAGCGATCTGTGAAAAAGCTTACCATACCATGGATCTAGGCAAGTTTTTCCGCCCAAAGTATTGCTGCAAATAGTAAGCATTTTGTGGGATTTTCCAACGATTGCCAGTCAATTGTACCAACCAGTCACCCATTGAGGGTGCGGAGTTTCGCGAAATAAGTTTGGAGCTGACCACGGAAAATGGAACGCAAAAGAATGCCAGTGAATGTGCCACAGACGGCCACCTACTCACGCTCGACTACGATCACGCTACTCACGCTCCACCTGGTAACTGGCTTTGAAAACGGCAACACCTTTTCATGCCCCTTCACCTTTCAACTCCCGGAAAAAAGCACGAGGCCCGGCACGTCCCAGCGTAATAATAGACAGGCAGCACTCCGAACCAGTTTATCAAGACAGCGCGTGTAGATGTTTGGATGTGCAGTTTTTTTGTCACCTTTCGTTCCGCCCGTGGCAATTAAAGCGATTCGTCGTTAATGGTACGTTAAATCATGTTCAATTTTGAGCTGGTCTGCATAGGGGGTAGGAAGTGAGAGCGTTGCTTATTGACAGACCGGTGCGATTCTGCTACTCGTGTCTCATTTTTGGGCAATGTTCAAAGGCGATTTTATTCAACATTCACACTTCATTTTTCACATTTCCGTACGTGATTTGTCGTACAGCTAGGTGGCAACACAGGCTGCTTGCTATTGGGCATCTAAGTCGGTAGGTGCAGAATCTGTGCTCTTGAAGGTATTAATACATGGTTCATGATGGAAACAGCGAATCCCAAGCCGTTGCACCTTCTGGTTCCATTTTGTCTTGAAGCAGAGAGGTAAAATGAGTTTTTCCTAAAGTTGTTTTTGTTGCATCTTGATGGAGTACAAAATATTGTATTGTACCCAGTCACAATCCTAGGCTACAAAATCTTCTGGTACGCATTATACCAGGAAACGTTGATGTTTCCAACACTGCTTCGGGCGGTTGCAGCGCTCGGTTTGTGCCGATTATCTGCGGTTGTGATGATGGCCCCGCGCCCGTCCCCTAACAGCTGTCAAAGTGCGGCGGTTGTGTACGCATCACGTGCATTGCCAGCACGAGACCGTGCACCGAGCGCCCCCTCCCACTGGCAGGTGTCTGGCGGACGCGTACCCGTACCCCACGTACGAGTGGTACGCAGAGGTGTACATGGACGACAAGGTCATCTACAATAAGGTGGACCCGCTGAAGGAGGGTCGCGTCACCATCAGCGGCGGCGTGCTCATGATCTCCGAGCCCGAGCAGGTGGGCGTCGCCGGCCAGGGCGCCGCCGGCTGGGTGGCTCGCCGGTGTCTGTCCTCTACGTCCGACACGGCTGGGCCGCGAAGAAGCGCGCTGTTCGATGAAGCACGCGGAATGGTTTTCACCTCGTGTATATTTCACTGGGTACAGGGACAACCGACGTGGGATCGGAGGCCGTGTTTAGATGCGTGTTGTTGTGGCGGGAACGTCCGTATCGCCATGAATTCCGTTTCACAAGGCTGCCGTTGGCCCGTTGCAACCAACCTAACTGCATGGCGCGGCCGGCGCTGATGGAGGCGCAGTTACTGGTACTGTTCGGATCGCGGGAGATGGCCCGCAGACGTTGGGACCCGGACGCGACAAGCGTTGCAGTCGATGCCGCGTGACGCTGCCGGAGGCCGTGACGCCGACGTCGCCGCCCTCCGCAGGTGACTGACCGCGGCAAGTACCACTGCCGCGCCTCCAACAAGTTCGGCACCATCATGTCGGAGAGTGTGCAGCTCTCCTTCGGCCACATCGGCGAGTTCAACCAGAAGCGTTCCAACGAGGTGGGCAACATGAACTTCGGCAAGGCCATCTACTGCGACCCGCCGCAGCACTTCCCTGGTGAGTGAGACATCTGGGGGTGTAAGGGAGGGGGGGGGGGGGGGTGACTGGTGTCGTTCCTGGGCTGGGCGTGCCATGTCGCCGCTGGGGGCAGATGCAGGTGCTCGCAATGGAATGTGATGAGATATGGTGCGGTCAATGAGATATGATGTGTGTGTGGGTGTGTGTGTGGGTGGGTGGGTGTGGGTGTGGGTGTGACGCTTTGCTGATTTGGTTTCCATCGTCAGCTTTCGGGGAGCCAGGTGCGGAGTATTGACGCTGTGGTCACATAACAGCTTGGTGTTGAGTGTGCCGTACGGCGGTAGTAAGTGTGGATGCCAGAGCTTGATACCTTGCACGCTGCTTGGACGGCCAGCAGTGGGCACAGTGTGGCAGCTTGGATAGTCGGGGCTCGTCACCTTACGCACTGAGCACGAGACCACCAGGGTACAACACAAGCACCGTTGTTTTGCGGGCCCAGGCTGTCAGCTCTGAACTGGCAGTTCAACACAGTTTACCAGGTGCACTGTGCAGTTGGCGCGTCCTAAAGCCCAAATGTAATGATCATCAGATGCACTGTCTGGCAATGTAGATGTGCTCTTGCATCTGTTGTGCATTAATTTGCACATATGTAATAGAACGTAGATGCTTGTGCAATCGCAAGTACAAGCATGTGTGTGGCTGGGGCAGCATCCCTCTCATCCCTATTTCGCAAAATGTGACGCGATTTTTGGTCACGCGGGGGTCCCCAAGGTGTGATGGAACGGGTGAAATGTGGCTTGTATTGGAGTGTTACGGGGCAGAGCTGTGTCATCTCCGTTAGCAATCAATAGCAGGCATGCACCACCTTGTCGCTAACATCCACCGGCCAATCTGTACAGCCGTTGCTGCGGATGATGTTACCACGTGCTCGCTGTGCGCATGCGCCGTATCTGTCGACCATCCTGTGACGCGTGAGCGTGACTGATCGGCCCGTCTTTTGGCGCGGTGCAGACGTGCACTTCCTGTGGGTCCGCGACTACTTCCCCAACTTCGTCGACGAGGACCACCGGGTGTTCGTGTCCCACGACGGCCACCTCTACTTCTCGTCGCTGGAGACGATGGACGAGGCGGATTACATGTGCAACGTCAAGTCCACCATCTCGGAGAACGGCAAGATCGGGCCCAAGTTCAGGCTGGACGTGAGGTCGCACTGTGAGTGGATGCGGATGTTCCCGGCGCTGCTGCTGGCGGAGTGGCGCCCGCTCTGAGCGCTCTGACTGGTGTCGCAGGCGGTGTTCGATAGGGCTTGGATCGCCGCACCTTTAGTGTCGAGACGGCTGGGAGGAGTCAATCGTGGCGATGCTCAGAGTGCGTGCTTTGAGGTGACGCATGGCAAAGGCAGGTCCTTAGTTCGGGTTGACCTGGAGAAGGGATCCCACCATGGCAATGCTGTGTGTTTTAACATAACGAATGGCAGGGCATGATTGTCGGTTCGATTCTGGGCCATCAATGCGCAACTGTATTTGACCTTGACTTGAAGAGCCCTCTCGGTGTTAGCATGATTTGAAACGTCCTCATGCGAGCATACGAGTAGACACCAGACAGGTTTCTACCCTCCCCATCGTCACATCCGCGTCGCGGCCGTGCCACCGGCTCTGAGACGGCGCCCGTCGTGCCGGCAGCCAACTTTCAGCAGCTGCGGTTCGCGCACAACTTCCCCAAGTCGTTCCCGGAGGCGCCGCGCGAGGGCGCGCCGGTGCGGCTGGAGTGCGTGGCCTTCGGCTACCCGGTGCCGCACTACAACTGGACGCGGCGCGGCGGAGAGCTGCCGCGCTCGGCGCGCCTCTCCAACTACGACCGCGTGCTCACGCTGAACGAGGTGCGCGTCGAGGACGAGGGCGAGTACGTCTGCCGCGCCAGCAACAGCAAGGTCTCGTCCGAGTCGTCCGTCACGCTCAGCATCCAGGGTGAGTGGGGTCGGGGCGGCCGCACGCCGGCGGCGGGTGGGGACTGAGCGGCCGTGTCGCGTCCGGCGGTGGCTCATCAGGCGTCAGCTGTCTTCTGGTGTCCGCTCAGGAAGCCCCGCAGGGCAGGCAAGTGTCCGGTTAGTGCCTTTGCTTGTCCCTCCGTGGTGAGACGCCGCTGACACGGCGTCACGTTCACGCGCCGGCGCTGTGCAGCATCGGGGCGCCGTCACAGCGGCGGCGCGTGCGGCCGGCCTCCTCCGGCCCCTCGCCGGGACCGGCGCGCCTGACGCGCACGCCTCCGTCGGCAGCCAAACCGCGCTTCACCATCCCGCTCGAGGACCAGCACATCAACGAGGGCATCGAGCTGACGTGGACGTGCGAGGCGTTCGGCATACCGGAGGTCACCTACGCCTGGCTCAGGAACGGCGTCGTGCTCGACCCTAAGGTAGGCGCCACGCAGGCGGAGCCAGCGGCGGCGGGTACACTGGAGCGGGCGCGTCACCGGCTCGCGACTCAGCAGACGGGCTCGGAGTTAAACGGCGTGTTTGTTGTAGCGGTTCACCTCAGTTTTGCTACTGATTTGGTTCAGTCGGTTCTCATTTGGCGCGTATAAAACCGTGTGAATGGTCCGGGTTTCGTTGGTCGTCCGGCTGTGAAACGCTATCTATGTCTCATTTTGACGTGATGCTTTTCAAACATGCAGCCGCAACGTGGCAGATATTATTAAGTTCTTTAGCCTGCCAATACACCTACGTGCGATCCTGCCGCCCACAAACACAAGGCGCTTGATAAGTGCACGTAGAATGTTGTCGACACGACGCTTGCTTTGCGTAGCTTAACCGTCTCCCCGCATTTGCTTCACGCCCGTGTCGCCATCACCGCCGGGAGGGAACAGCGCCATTAAACGAGTCACGGAGCGCAGCGCCACCCGCGTAGCCAACCGGCATCGGCCGGATTACACCCGAGCCCAGCCGCCGGGGCCATGGGGTGCCCCTCAGCGCGCCGCGCGCGCTCTCGCTCACGCCTCACGCGCCCGGCCGGCCGCCCGCAGGACTTCGAGCGGGATCCACGCATCCAGGTGCAGGACAGCCTGCTGTCGATCAAGAACGTGACGGATACGGACCAGGCGATGTACCAGTGCCGCGCCACCAACCAGCTGGGCAGCACCTACTCGTCGGGGCAGCTGCGCGTGCTGGCGTTCCGGCCCACGTTCGCCAAGCAGCCGCTCGAGCGGCTCATGTTCTCGGGCCAGGGCCTGAACCACACCATCGCCTGCGACCCGGAGGCGGCGCCGCGGCCCAAGATCGAGTGGCAGCTGAACGGCCGGCCAATCGGCTCGACTTCCAACCCGGGTGGGTGGCGCAGCGGGCCGGTGCAGCTCCGGGGGCCGTGGGGCTCTCAGCGCCGGTGGGAGCGGGTCAGCTCGATGCTGCCTGCGGCCCGGGGTCAGGGCTGGCGCAGGCCCGGGGGCCGTGGGACTCTCAGCGCCGGTGGGAGCGAGTCGGCTCGGTGCTGCCTGCGACCCGAGGCCCGGGTGGCGGACGGCGGCGCTGTCAGGGGTGCTGCCATCTGTCGAGGGTCGGATTCCTTTCTCACGGCTGCCCGTGAGCGCGGTTGGCCCCGTGATGCTGCGTGATGGGTGAGATGCCGACGGTCCGTGTCAAGTAACGTGATGAGCTGGCGCGATTGGGCCAACGACAGGCTGCGGGTGACATGCGGTGCTTGGCAATCACTTTTGGTGGGATTTGCTTCCCATGGAAAATCACACGTAGTACGTAAGCGTGGAATATTACTGCTATTTTCTTGTCTCCGTGGTCCGTCATTTCGTGCTGTGCGGACAACAGACTGGCGCTTTTGATTGGTACAGCCCTATGGCCCTATGCTATGCCCAATGACATCTGCTCAGTTTGGCTCGGCCTGTCCTGTGACAAGTCTGCCAAGCCTTGCCTACCGTGACACCTATGTTCAGTATGCGTTGCAGCGTGTGTGGTGAAAGCCGACCCCTTCTGTGTGTCGGCCTGACTGGGACCAGTCTGCCAGGCTGTGTTTTAGCGTGGCGGCCAGCACGCCAGCCCGCCCTGTGCAGGCCCGTGGCGGCTCGGCCGTGCCTGTGCGCCAGCATGCCCTGTGACGCAGCCGTACATTGTACCGGTGTCTCGGTGCCGGCAGCCTCAGCCGGTCGGCGCCGCGTGCTGCCGAACGGCTACCTCCAGCTGGACCCGGTCGGCATCGACGACGAGGGCACCTACACGTGCGTGGCGTCCAACCGCTACGGCAAGGACTCCAGCTCTGGCCGACTGCGTGTGCTCGGTCAGTACTCTGCTGGTCGCCGCCGCGCCGTGTGGCCCCGCGCACCGGTCTCGCGCGCTCCGTCCACCCGTGCTACACGTGCCACTCATTCACCTGTTTAGTTCCTCTTTCACGCTGCGTTGGCAGCGCGTGCGGCCCCGCCGCGGTCGAGCAGCGCGTGCGGCCCGCTGACGCGCGCCGCCCGTCCCCAGCGGCGCCGGTCCTGGTCGAGCGCCCCGATCTGGAGATGGTGAAGGTGGTGGACGACGTGGTGACCATTCGGTGCCGGGCCGAGGCCGAGCCGAACCTCGACCTGGCCTACGTGTGGACCCACAACGGCCTCGTCATCAACTACAACGAGACGGACACGCCCTACTTCAGAGTGAGCGAGCGCGCGGCGCCGGCTGATCCGGAGGAAAGGCCGAGGGTCTGCCGCGCTACACACGGCCGTGGATCAGTTGAGGGTGGTGGCGTGGGGCAGGGTTTGCTTCGGTGCCCCGATGTCCAAAATGGCATCGAGTTATTCATCGGCGTGGGCGAAGCTTAGCTTATTAATGTACTCTAATTGCAAGGTCAGGGCTCCATTTCAAACTGGTCACTTCTGAGAGCATCACAGTCACTCCAGACGGAGCCGAATCGCTTCACGTGGTGATCTTAGCCGTACGTTCACCCGGATCTGATCGACGCGCTTGAATGGGTGACGGGGTGACTGCGCGCGTCGCGAAGTCACCCCCACAGCCGGCTTTAACGTCCGACGACGGGGTGTCCCCGCGCCTCCGGGCAGGCATCACCGCCGTGCGGCCGCGTGGCGCCGTCGTGACGCGCCATCTCTGCGCCGCAGATCCGCCAGCGCGGCTACCTGCAGATCCGCAACGTGTCGCTGGAGGAGCGCGGCACGTATCGCTGCATCGCCAAGACGGCCGTGGGCGAGATCTCGGCCGAGACCAAGCTCACCATCAGCGGACCGCCGGGGGCGCCCGGTACGTGCGGCGCGCGCGTCGAGGACGCGGCCGACTGCCGGCGAGCGGGACGCGAGCGCGCAGCGGCGCTCCGATCGCGGCTGGCTGCAGATGCCGCGCCCAGCCGGGGGACTTCGGGACCTGTGCTCGGGGGATTGTTTGGTGTGCGCGTCTTGAATCTCTGGTGGTGAATGTCCGGAGCAGGGACGGGCGTCACCGTGCCGCCCCGCCTGGTGTCCGTGTCCGCGACTGACCCCGCTTGGTTGGCGCTCGGCCTTGCAGGCGGTGTGCAGGCGTTTGATCTGAACGCCACCTCGGGCCGCCTCGAGTGGCAGGACTTCGCTGACAACGGCCGCACCATCAGCATGTACCGCATCCAGGCGCGCACCAACTGGAACGCCACCTGGTTCACAATAGCCGAGAGTGAGTCGCCGGCCCGGCTGCGGCGCGAGGCCGCTGAGAAGGGGGAGGGGGGGGGGGGGGGGACTCGGTTGTACGCGGCGGCAGTGGTCTCTGGTCGGATTTGTTACGTAGCGTGGGTGCCAGCGCGGGGCAGCGAAAACGTCACGCACTGTGAGGGTACTGAGGGAAAGTTCACGTGCGTCGCGCACCTGCTGGTCGTTTGGCCGCCAGGCGGTGCCTGATCGGGACAATCTTCTTTGATGGCACGCTGTTGGCGTGTCGGTCGTCGGCTAACCGCTGCCGTCGGTGGGCCGTGCGCCGGCGCCTGACCGGGCCGCGCGCGTGCCGGCAGACATCACCGTGGAGCGGATCGGCCTCTCCACCTCGGACACGCGCCACTACGTGTTCCCCGACCTGCTGGTGCCGTACTCGTGGTACGAGTTCCGCGTGGCGGCCGCCAACCCGCTCGGCTACGGGCCGCCGTCGCCGGCGTCGCCGCGCTACAACACGGACGCGGCGCGGCCGTTCACGGCGCCCATCCAGATCCACGGCGGCGGCGGCAAGATCGGCGACCTCACCATCAAGTGGAAGGTGAGCGGCGCGCCGTCGGCTGGACGCGAGCCGGCCGGCCATTTGCCTTGTTCAGTATGAATGCGAGTGAAGTTAGACGGAACGTTTTCACATTGGAGCGCGCCAGCTCGGAGGGTTTCAGTTTGAAGTCGTGGATGGACGTGACACTCGGAGACGAGGTCAGCGTATTTGAGCGTGTCCCAGTTGAAATACTCAACGGCCCAGAATCATTTCTGACTATCCAGACCGCCTGCCGTTAGCTCGCATCGCGTAGGCTGTGCCGTCGGCCGCCCTCTCCGTCACCCGTCCGTCTCGTGACGAGATGGTCGGCTGGTGACACGGCACGCTGGCGGGAGCCGCGGCGCCGTGGTCGCCGGCATGTGTCGGGCGGGTTCGCTCACCGCCCGGTGCCGCGTCGCCAGCCGCTGACGGAGCGGTACCGGAACGCGCCCGGCGTCTACTACAAGGTGTTCTGGATGCGCCACGAGATCGACAAGGAGATCGACTACAACGAGAGGGTTCTGAAGGAGTACGGCAACATCGGGCAGTACGTGGTCGGCATCCAACGGAAGTACTTCTACAGCCAGTACAAGGTCAAGGTCCAGGTGAGAGCGCCGGTCAGGACGTGCGTACTGAGGGATTGGGCACGACTCTTGTGATGCGTCCAGGTTCTTGTGTGGTACGTTACCAGGTGCTTGGGGAAAGCAGTTTTTCCACTCGGAAAAACATACACTGCTCGTTGTAACCTGAGCTTACATCACGTGCCTGTTCCAAAACCCGAACCAACTAGCGTGCCGCTTTGTTTGTCCGCTGCGCTGTGACACACCTGTACGTAATTTCGGTGACCAACGCATGTTCGAGTGTGACAAGGTATCTGCGTGTTGAACTCGTCTCCAGGGCTTAATCGTCGTCTCCATTGACAATCCGTTCATAACCCCACCTGTCATAATGAGTAGGTGCAAAGCAACCCCAGCTGTCGGCGCACCCTTAAAAGGGGTGTTGCACATTTATGTGCGGTTTTGAACTTGAATTAGCCGGCTTGACGACCTTTCGGCGCTGTTCACAATCCGCTCTTCTTAGGACCTAAGTCCCTCTAGTATCTGAGCTACACGCCCGCGAAAATGGGGAAGGTATGTCGGGGAGAGTAGTTCAGGCACGTTAGCATTCATGACGCCATGATAACGTCATTCAAATCCTGCCGTTTCATAAGCCATGCGGCGATAAGGCCGAGAACAATATAATTATCGAGGCGTTCATATCTGGCGCTCGCGAGCATGATTTCCAGATGTAATGGCCGTCAATTGGCTCTAAATCAATGTTGTGCAAGGCACGATGACGTGATCAAACCATGACGCATTGAGGAATATATTTACTAAACTGAGAATTGTGCTGTCTAGAGCAGCCTTTTCCACCTAAAAGCTATACCAGCTTTTATAAATAAGTCTGTTTCGCCACATCTGATGCTTGCTTCAATATTTTCAAATATGAAACATTTCCTTCAAACACCAATCACTCAGTCGCGGCGCCGGTAATCGCCGCCTGACGCCACGCCCCGCCCGCAGGCCTTCAACTCGCTGGGCGCCGGGCCCATATCGGAGGAGTACATCATCTACAGCGCCGAGGGCATGCCGCAGGCCGTGCCGACAGAGGTGGCCGCCAAGGCCTACAACTCGACGGCGCTCAACTGTACTTGGAAGCCGATCGAGCACACGCGCGAGGGCCTCCGTGGGCGTCTGCTCGGGCACAGGGTGAGTGGAGCGTGGCCCCGCGGCGCGCCAGCGATCCACACCGCCCGCTGTGTTCGCGCCAGTAACCGTTCGCTTTCAGGAGAAGCGATGTTTGTGCGTGTGTGGGGATCGCGTCTTGCGCCGCGGCTGAGGCTGGATCTTCATCAGCGGACGACTGAGAGGCTGAGGACTGAGCACGCGGTGGCTCGCAGTTACGCGCGCGCCGTTGCGGTTGTGCACCGACGTCAATGCGGTCAGGAGCTGCTGTCGTCTGTTTGGGGGCCTCGCAGATCCACCGCGTTTGTGTGTCGCGTCGGCCGTCGAGGCAGATGCAGTAAGTGTTCCGGATGGGTGGCGGGCAGCCGCGCTCGACCGGGCGTCGCCTCACTGCCTGACTCGGCGTCGCCTCGCTGCCCGCCAGGTGAAGTACTGGCCGCGCGACGCCGACGAGGCGACCGACTCGCTGATCCTGCTCAAGTCGTCGCTGGATCCGTGGGCGCTGGTGGTCGGCCTGCAGCCCTTCACCGAGTACTACGTGCGCGTCATGGCCTACAACTCGGCCGGCTCCGGCCAGGAGAGCGAGCGATTCCTCGGTGAGTGGTCCGCCCGCCGTCGGGCCGCCGCTGTCTGGACCGGCGCCGCCCGCCGGCCGCCCCCGTCCGGCGTCCTGTAGCCTTGCACTGGCTTGTTGGGGTTGGAGGGGCCTGCAGGACGTGTCAGATGCTGAGCCGCCGTGTGTGAGCTTAGCGGTGCTGTGTGCTGCGTGAAACGCCCCGGTCATTGGGAAGCAGGGGAGGCTCACTCAAACCAGTCACGTCTCCGCGTCGCCTGCCGTCGCCGCGGCCGACTTTTCGGCCGCGTGGCGCGGCCCCTGTCTCGCCGTCGCCGCCGCCGCCGCCGCCGGGAGCGGGGCGCTGACCGTGCGTGCCGCCCGTTCCAGAGCGGACCTACAAGAACGCGCCGCTGAACCCGCCCACGGCCGTCCGGGTGGATGGCATCAACCCGCGCACAGTCGAGGTCACCTGGCGCATCGCGTCGCCGGGTGTCAACGAGGAGCCTCTCAAGGGCTTCAAGGTACGGCCCGCACCGCGCCGCCTCCGTGTACCAGTATAGCAGTTTTAGAATATATATATATATATATATATATATATATATATATATATATATATATATATATATATCAATGGGCGCCATATGGCCAGGTTGGCCGGAGCGCCTTACAACCGAAATGAGCATAATAATGATAGAAAATATGTAGTTTTTCATTCGTGCCCTACACGTGGGTAACGTAAGTCGTGTTTTCGAACGAATTCCGCTTCGCGATGATTTGATGTATATTTTGTCTCGTGCGAGTCCCAGTTAGTTATCGACAGTTGGGACATTGCGATTCATTCGATGACTCCTGATTGTCCTCATGCATAATGACTGGGAGCTGTGTGGCCTGAGCGCGCCCAGCGTTGGCAGCGGTCTCCGACGTCCGCTAGCCGCAGTCCACGCTGTCACTAGTGATAGTAGCTGGACTGAGCTCCCCCCGGTATCCGTGTGTGGTGCTGCTGCTGCTACACGCGGGCACTAGCTCATCACCGCTCGGCCGGGGACTTACGCGGCAGTGGTCCCGAACGCGGAGAAAGTGGCGGGCTTGCCGCCGCGCGTCCGCTGCGTGGAGTGGGTTCGGCCGCCGCGCCCCGCCAAAATTTTGGTCTCGTCGTTCTTGGTGTTGTCCTTGGTTGTTTTCTGATCCCCTGCAGCTGAAGGAAGCCAATGTGCGCGGACATTTGGCGACGGTAAAGAGCGATTGGTTCAAGCTTGGGTGCGCGTGAGCAGTGTGGTTGCAGTTTGATGGGTTGAGGCCTCTATGGCGCTGCTTCGCTCCCAGTGTGACGAGACGCCATAATCAATGCGGTGCGACTGTGCACAACATTGGTCGGTGTGGCAGCCGGGCCTACCTGTGTCACTCATGCCGTCTGGGTCATGTACCTGTGTCGTGACCCAGTGTCGTCTGCGTGGCCCCGCTCGGTCTGACAGCCGCCAGTGGCGTGCCGTTTGATTTCCTTCAACTCAACGGCACCCGCCGAGTTCTCGTCCATGTCGATATCTAGCTGGTGGACCCGGGCGGGACGTCGCTGAAAAGGGGTTCGCGGAACGCCTCTGTCGGTCGCGGGGGTGTGGCGCGGCGTGCGGTACCAGATGTGAGCCGCTGCGGTCACGGGTCCTGGCTCGCTGCGGCGTCGAGCGGCAGCGCCGCGGCTTATTGGCCTCCCTGTCCAGCTGGGGGCTGGCGTGTCAGGTGTCCGATGCCGCCGGGCACATTTTTGTACGTGAAATGTTGCAGTATGTTGCACTTGTCACCACGTCGTCCACTTTGGTCTGCAAATGTTTTCGTGCCGTCTCCCACTCGTCTGTGCAAGGCAGCTAACCCACGAACCGTGCCGACACGAGCTCCCCCGGACCAGGGTTGTAGAGGCGATGTCGCCTGCTGCGTCGACTGTTGGTCTGACCCGTGCGCCGAGGAACGGTCAGATCGGCGACGGATCTGATGAGTTCACTGTCTCACGTCTCCCCCGGTCGTCCTCCCGCGCAGGCGCGGCCCGGACCGCGTCCTACACCTGCCGCCGCTACCCTGGGCCCGGGGCCCTGCCCTGCCTTGACCCTGGGGCCCGTGCGTGCCCCGACGGCGCCCGTCGCCCTACCCCTCCTGCCCCTACCCTGACCCAGCCGCGCGCCCTTCACCCAGTCCCTCTTGCCCCTGTCCTGACCCCGGCGTGCCCCGGCCTCGCGCCCGCCTCCCGGCCCCCCCCGCCCCCGCCCCCACCGGGGCGCGCCCCCGCGGCGCGCCCGTCACTCGTCCCTTCCCGCCCTGACCCTGGCCCCCTCGCTCGCGGCCGGCGTTGACGGCTGGCTGGGTGCGACAGGTGCGCGTCTGGGAGCAAGACCAGGATATCTCTGACGCCAACGACACCATCGTGGAGCTCGGCAACGCGCTGCGGGCGCGCATCGAAAACCTGGAGCCGGCCGGCCGGTACAAGCTGCGCGTGCTGGCCTTCAGCGCCGGCGGCGACGGCAAGATGAGCTCGCCCGCTTGGGAGTTCCAGATGGGTGAGTGTCGCAGGAAGGCTGTCGCACGGGTCTGGCGGTCCCGGGCCGCGGCCCCAGACCAGTGCCGGAGGGGTGCGGAGGCTGAGGAAAGGAATTTTGATGGTTGAGTGGATGAACTTGTGAATGGGCTGTTTCGAGGGCAGGAGGGTGGTGTTTGAAGGTCTTCAGGGAGAGACGCTGGGCTATGAGCTCCACAAGGGCGAGTGGCGGTCTCTTGCGGTAGGGTCCTGGCCTGCGTGCTCCAGGTGGACGAGTGGCGAGCTCCAAGGCGGGCTATCAGCGAGAGGAGTCCCAAGAGGATGGATTCGGATGGGGGGGGGGGGGGGAGCGTCGCGTCGGACTGGTGGCCGGAACCGTCCGGCGTCGTGCAGCCGTGGGTCGGACCCGGGGAGGCCCCAACTTTCCTGGGGCGGTTGCTGCCGGCGTCCCAGGACTTGTACTCGTGATATTGCTAATCTTGCTGCTTTGTTGTATTCGAATGGACTGCCAGCTTAGACGGCGCAAGACATCGCGCCCTGTCCTTGGGCTGTGTGTGTCGAGCTGACCTGTGACGGCCCCCGGTCGCCGGCAGGTGACCCGGACGTCCTGCGCGGCCCCACGCACCAGATCAGGTACAGCGGACAGCTCTCGCACGCGGCGATACCCTCCCAGGCGGTGCTGCACGTGCTGGTGCCGCTGGCCGCCGGCCTGGCCTGGCTGCGCGCCACCGGCGCCGTCTGAGCCGGCACGCGCGATCCGCCCCTGTGTGGGCGCCGATCGGCCGAATCTCGCGCCAATCTCGCGCCGTGGAGTGCGCCGGCGCCGGACCCTTGTGATGACGTACATCCGTTCCGTCCATGTGAGCGGCCCGGCTGGAGCGCCGACGCCGTGCCTGAAGCTGTTGCCCACCCCCGTCCAGCGCGTAGTCGACGTCATTTCCGCGGGCGTCGCGCGGAGCGCGTGACTCCGCTTCCTCAAGAGACGGGACATCTCTGTTACAAACCAGCTCATCTTCTGTTTGAAGCGTCGTGTGTCAGGCGTTTTGTGCCGGCGGGCGTGCTGTCTGCGCACCGGAAGTGTTGCCCGTCCGTCGTACTCCGGCCCGGCTCGCCTCAGCGGCCGCGTCCGTCCTCTGGTTCTGACTGCCTTCTGAGCGTGAGGCGTCGCCGTAGCAGTGTTTGGTGTGACCGCCGTCCATTGTCCGCCTTACATTCCCGTGCGCTGTGCGAGTGATCGTGACCGTTTGTATGCGTTTTAGATCCAGTTTAACCATCAGATAGTCGACATTCCGAAGCCGCGCTTGTCACGTGTCATTGTTAATCAGTGTCCTTGCGCTTGTAGTTTTTAAGGTACTGCTCATCTCCACTTTTGTGATGCAGATTTATTTAAGGGCGTAAGCGTTGGGCAAGTTTGAGCCCAAAAGCACCTGTGGCGCCGCGATTGGACGAAACACCGGTCAGGTAGATATCAAGGGCAACGTCTTTTTGTGTCAGTGACAAATGCTTCATCTCATGCAACGTTCATTTTATGAATTTGGTATTCATATGCCAACGACGATAAACCTTCAGTAGATCCGAAGGTACTGGGAAAACAGCGTTAGTAGGCGAACATTGTTTCTGTTCTCAAACGGTCACGAGTGGATACTTTCCGTCCGCGTGTCATGACCATCAACTCAGCTTAAAACGTGGACGTTAAGAACAGAACCAACGTTTGCCTGGCAACTTTATAACGTTGTTGATGTTTTTATAACGTTGATAAACCGTGTCTCCTGGCATATTGGAGGCCGATTGTTTAGCTGGAGGCAAAGAAAAACGGTAGCTTAGGGTTTATATTATGCAGCGCTCGTTTTCTTGCAGTAATAAAACGCCAAAACCATGCTGTCTGCTGTTCTGGGCAAACTCACGCGGGTCTGGTCTGTCCTGGTTAGCTGAAGTGCTCAAGGCACGCCAGGTTCAGCAGCTGGCTGTGCCAGCCGCGCTCGGTCGTGTGTTGGAGTGGAGTGCCTCCTCTCCGCCGCTCACGACGGGCCGGGCCGTGCTGCAGTGCACTGCCCGCCGAGTGATTGGGCTCATTTATTGGTCACGGGAGAAGAGAACCAGCCGGCTTTACGGGTCAATTTCGGCGGCGCCGTGAGCATCCGGCCTCACGGGTCGGCCTTTCATTGAGTGTTTGCGTGTGTACGGCTCACATTTCGCGGCGTTGGCCCGGGTGACCTGCGGAGGGAAGTGGAACGGGCCGCGTGCAGACACCGAGCGGTGAGGAGTTCACCCTCAGCAGCTGCTGTGACTTCGTTACTCTGTGTGGTGCTCGCCTCGTGCTGTTGCTGATCCACGCCGTCATCTGGTCACCGACGGGCTCGCCTCGTGCTGTTGCTGATCCACGCCGTCATCTGGTCACCGACGGGCTCGCCTCGTGCTGTTGCTGATCCACGCCGTCATCTGGTCACCGACGGGCCCGCCTCGTGCTGTTGCTGATCCACGCCATCATCTGGTCACCGACGGGCTCGCCTCGTGCTGTTGCTGATCCACGCCGTCATCTGGTCACCGACGGGCTCGCCTCGTGCTGTTGCTGATCCACGCCGTCATCTGGTCACCGAAGGGCTCGCCTCGTGGGCTATATCATTCTCCCCCCCCCCCCCTCCGCTTCCACCACCTGCCTCCACTGCATCCGGTCCTTTGCGGCGAGCCTCCCACCCGCTCGAAGCGCCAGCGTAGCGGCTAGGAGCTGTAAGCCAGGGGCAGAGGTTGGCAGCGCACCGGAGCGTCACCGGCAGCCCCGCACCGGAGCGTCACCGGCAGCCCCACACCGGAGCGGCAGCGGCAGCCCCACAGCGGAGCGGCACCGGCAGCCCCACACCGGAGCGTCACCGGTAACCCGGACCGCAACATTACCGGTAGCCCCACACCGGAGCGTCACCGGCAGCCCCGCACCGGAGCGTCGCCGGCAGCCCCACACCGGAGCGGCACCGGTAACCCGGACCGCAACATTACCAGTAGCCCCACACCGGAGCGTCACCGGCAGCCCCGCATCGAAGCGTCACCGGCAGCCCCACACCGGAGCGTCACCGGCAGCCCCGCACCGGAGTGATACCGGCAGCCCCGCACCGGAGCGACACCGGCAGCCCCGCGCCGGAGCGACACCGACAGCCCGCACCGCAGTGTCACCGGCAGCTCCGCACCGGGGCGACGGCTGCCGGTGCTGGGCTCCCGTCAACGGTCCGGCATTCAAATGACGCCCGTTACCTATGCAGACACTGGCCGCCGGCGTGTCGCGCACCACTGCCCCGCATCGGTGCCGGCCCGCCCGGGCGGACGGCGCACCGGGCCCGGCGACGCCCGGCGCCAGCGCTGGCGCCCCGCGCGTCCGGAAGTCCGCGCGGCGGCGTCCATCCACTCGGACGAGTCAGAGGTCGTGCTGTGGAGACGTACGCGATGACGGCGTGGGACGGCGCGGTTTGATTCGGAGCCTGCGCGATACCGAACCGGAGGGCCGAACTGTTTGAGGTTTGGATCACCACGTGGGCGAGCTGCCTGAGCACCGGTGTCTGGGTCAAAGTCACGTTGTTTCACACAACCTGGTGAGACTGCCGCTCCTGCTCGCTGTGATAATCTCTCAGGCGGTGGTCACGAACATCTCAGGCGCGGAGTTCGCATCATATATCTCCCGGTCACGCTCGGTCCACACATGTTTTGCCGCCACAGCAGCACTGAGCGGCCGGCTCTCGCGATGCAGACCGCTTTTCCGGGGCGATGTGACCGGCTCGCTGGCCTTCAAGCCGACATTTGCAAGAGAAAAGAAGAACGCTAAAAATGGAAATTGAAATTGAAGGCGAAGAGTGTCACATGGTGTGTCGCATGTGTCACATGGAGCGTGTGTCCGATGTGTCACGTTGAGTGTCCTGTGTGTCACATGGAACATGTCACGGAGTGCCACATGTGTCACACGGGGTGTGTCACTTGGAGCGTGGAGCGTGTCATGGATGCATTCATAGGTCGATAGCAGTTGTTCCGCCCTTCAAGAATATGCGTCATCCGGGTAGATTCTAATTGCGGCGTTGAAACGAGCGGATTGCTCTGCTGGAAAACATCAATTCCAAGCAACTGCAAACCAGTGCAGTATTGTCACAGAGGCGCTTTGCTATCGCATGTGACTCCACGGACCAGCAGCAATTTGAAGGTGCTGGCACCGCGCACTAACATTCCGCATAGCGCCAATGTTGGTCTTGTCAGTCAAAATGCTCACGCCGGTCACTAGATAAAACCGCTGCGGTGCGCAAAGCTGGGCCTCGGGCCGAGCACAGCTCCCGCTGGTTGACACGTGCCGCCGCGCACCGCATCTCTCCCTCGATCGCTGCCGGCGGGGACGCTGCGCCGCCCGTCTCCGCGGCGCCGGTGCCAGCCACCCGCATGTACAGGGCCGTGATTCGCGAGGCCAGTTTGCATCCTAAGCGACCCAACGAAAGCCAGCCGCGTGGCGAGAGCTGGGCGTAACTGGCTGGCCGGCGGGCAAACGCTGAACCGGTGCAGCACCGGACAACGGAGGGGGTGGGCTTGTACGGGTGCCGCCATCTCCAGCCGGCGCTGCACGTGCGGGCCGCAGGCGGCTCGGCGATAGGGCAGGCCGCTGTCTGCAGTGGTTCCCGCCGCTGTCTGTAGTGGTACTCACCGCTGTCTGCGGTGGTGCCCGGCGCTGTTGTATTAGTGCCGGCCACTGTCTGCAGTGGTGCCCGTCCGTGTTTTCAGTGATACCTGTCGGTGTCTGCAGCGGTGTCCGCCCCTCTTTCCAGTGGCTGCCTGCAATTGAACTGGCCGCTGTCCACAGTTGCACTGACCGCTGTCCGTAGAGGTGGCCGCCCCCGTCTGTAGCCGCGCAAACCGCCGTCTGCAGTGGTGCCGGCCGCCGTCTGCAGTGGTGCCGGCCGGGGCGCGGCGCGCGCGCCTGCCGCACCGTTGGCCGAGCCGGCCGGCCGCGGCCGGGGAGAGCGCGGCCCGGCCTGGGCCGTCAGTCGCTGACTCGCCATGAGGTGGGAGCCACGACGCGTGGCCGCGCGCCTCTGCGCCGCCCGGAGGACGGACCCCGTCACCGTCCGCCGGCCGACCCCGCTGCCCAGACGAGGTCAGTGCACACTCCAGTCGGCGCCACCATCCATGCCGTGGCACAGGATCCCTGGGTGCAACGTACTGAGGGGGTGCTTTTGATGTGGCGGGCTTCTCGTGAAAGTCCGCGTTGTTGGCTAACGTGCAGTTGCTCGAGATGTTTTAATGATGTTTGTATGCAGTAACACTTAAGATAAACGTCGCGAGGTGCAGATAACGCTGGTTTTCCGCGTACAAAAGCCTTACTCGTCAACGCTTCAACGGCCTGCCGTGGCAGAATACCTGGCAGGTTTGAAGAAAAAGAATACGCAACACCATCGGATGCTTACGTTTTCTTCTTTAGGTACTTTATGGGTCCAGATCCATTGTCATCGATCTTTCCCACCTTTGTGCTTTTATTACAGCAGATAAAAAGCAAACCAGACGAGCCATCTCGGATTAATTCGTACCCATTCTTTGCCAGAAGTTTTCCTGTTTGTCGTATTGCTGTCGTTTTCTTTTCAGCCTTTGCGTTGACAGATTCGCGAAGTCTTACACAGTCATTGCCAATGCTCGGCAGGTACCTCGCTTCTTCTGTGACCGTGCCGTGTTTCGTGATTTTGCTCTGCCTCAGGACAGCATTTCATCCATTTGACCAGTTTTTATCCGGCGGTCGTTGGCGGGCCAGCAGAGCGTATCATCCGGGGGCTGACCTTGCGCTGTTGCGCCCATCTACGCCGCTCAGTTCTGTCCATCACCTGGCTCGGTGGCCTTTACGCCGTGATAAGCAGCCTGCCCCCCTCCCCCCTCGGTCTCCTCACTGCCGGCTCTTGCGGCCCGGCGGGTCGCGCGCCTTGGTCCTGCCACCGATCTGCGGTTGCCTCGGCCACTGGAACCACGCGTTGATCCGATGTCTTAACTCCGCGAAGGTAATGGCCACTTCGGTGTTTGTTGTTTACTTATCGATCGACCACTCGACACAAGAGTGCATTTGATTGCATTAGCACGTCAGTTATACGACGAGTAATCACATGTTTTGTCATTTGTATTGGCAAGGGGCTGAATAAATGCATTAAGCTATTCACCTGAGCTTCCGTTCGTTTCCGCCTCTCTGATCTCACGTGCGTCCGTTGCTGATCTGCACACACCCCTCCTCCCGTCCAGCACGAATTCGTGCCCAGTTTTCCACCACCAGTAATCCGACATGCCCCTGGCGTGCTCACTGCCCATTGTCTCGCGGGTGCACAGCGTGCCGCCGCGGCGCGCTCCGGGCCCCAACAATAGCAGCGCGTCCCGCCTCACCCCCGCGCCTGGAGCTCGGTCTGCGGACGTCGCCGCCGTCTCTTCGGGCCTATCCGCAGAGCATCGCCGCCTGACTTATTCATCGGGCCGTCGGCCCGTGCCGAACCCGCGGCGGCGGCACGGCGGCGGCGCGCCGCGGCGGCCTTGGACGGGGCACGAGCTGGCGCCGCGCCGCCGCCAGCACGGCAGAGCGTGTCGCGAGCGGCCGGCCGGCGGCCAGCACGCGACCGCGGCTGCCAGACCGGGCGACGCCGAGCTGTGTGGCCGGCCGGCGGGCTGGCGGCCGGCACGGCTGCGCCAGACGAGCTCGCCGCATCCTGTGGCCGGTGTCTGACGTGGACTGATGGGGTTAACTGCAGGGGACTGACGTGGGTGGGCGCAGGTGAACTTACCAGTGGTGGATCCAGAGGGGGTCCACGGGGCCATGGCCCATTCTTGGGCCCGCAGGAATCCATAACCGGCCGAGCATGCGCAGCTCTTCGCACACAATATGAAAAAA